TATATAAATATATACATATAGACATATCTATAAAAAAGAAGGAATCTGGCTCAGAAGCCAGCAGGTCTGAGGAAATTGTCCAGAAAGTGTCTGATTGGTGTGATTCATGCATGATGATGACTTTTGCGGAGTTGAAAGTTGAAATGTTTCCTGAGTGACGCGTCTTGCTGCTGAGTGGAGTGAAAAGCCTTAAATATGCACTTTATTTTAATCAACTCAGCTTTTATCTCCCGTCCTCAAGCTTCTTGAAATTCCTGTCACCAAATGTTATTTTTTATTTTTTTGCTTGAATTCTATACAGTCCCTGAACCCAGCCTACCCTAGAAAGCATCACTAGAGTTTCGTTAAACTGATTTTGGTCATTAAGCATTAAAAAAAAAATCCATCCCCTTCAGTTAAAATGTATATCTATAAGTTAGTCTGTTTAGGTACCTTATGCTATTTATAACACAAACCCTTCACATTTTTATGAATATAATCAAGCTGGATGGATCATTATTACTGTTTTTGTGTGTCTTCATCCACTTGTCAAACAACAAATGTTTCAGAATAAAAAACAACAACAACAAAAAACAACCAAACAGTAAAATGCTCACCACTCATCTGAATTTAAAAGGTGACACAGTGCTGACTGAAAACAATCAGAATTTACTGTTACCAACCATTTGGGTAATGCTTTGGTGTGGAGTGCTTTAGCTACTGTCTATCTGGGTAATGCCTTGACATCTTCCTAAATGAAAGACTGTAGAGAACGGTATCAAGAAAATTTAAAGGAATAGATAAGCGTTAAAACATTTACCAACCACGTGACGTGACTCTTTTTCAACACTTTACATAGCCTGTAATGAACCTTTCTACAGATCTATAGCAAAACTATAACAGACAGCCTTTAGAGGTTTTATGTGTTAGCCACCACTAACCGTTCTGGCATTGCTTCGGTGTGGAGTTATTTTGATTTTCACTTGTGGAAGTCTTAACGACTGAGTTGGATTTTCTGTACTGTGACAGTTACGAATACATGTAGCAATACGCCACAGGGTTTCTCCTAATGTATATTATAAGCCTGGCGGGCCACCAGGCTTTACTTGTGCCCCACCAGGCTAAACATTTCTTATTTCTTTAAGTCTTTTTAAAATGTTTGTATTTTTTAAGAGTTTATAGTTGGTGACTTTATAGTTGACTTTATAGTTTGTATGAATCTTCCAACCTTTTGATAACACATAATTATCAAGTGATATTTTTAAATTTCCTGTCAACTTTAAAACAAATTTAACTCAAAGACACGACGGGACGCTGGATGTACGTCTGCCCTAGCGCCCAACCACCGGGCTTAGTGAGTTTTCTGGGGGAAACCTTCCACCGCTATAGATTCACTTAGCTTATTATGTTCAGGGAATTTGAATTGCCTAATTAGCTTTGAAGCACAGGACTTCAGTAAACCCTTACCAATTGTGCTATTGTTGAATTTTAATGAGTCGAACCACCTGACGCTAACGGCTAAGAAACACCCAGCCAGACCTTTTCAGAGACCTCATTCCGCGCGTTCCCTCCGTCTCCAGGTACATGCTGGGTCTGTCCGTGCTTCCCGCCGTGCTCCAGTTCGTCGGGTTCCTCTTCCTGCCGGAGAGCCCCCGCTGGCTGATCCAGCGCGGGCTGACCCAAAAGGCCCGCCGGGTGCTCAGCCAGATCCGAGGCAACCAGAACATCGACGAGGAGTACGACAGCATCAAGAACAGCATCGAGGAAGAGGAGAAGGACAGCGGAGGAGGTGAGGCTGACAATGCGACAGAGTCACTTTTGTGATCTGGAAAGTCACATCATGTCTTCACTGGCGTTCACCAAACACAGCTCGGTGTTTCATGTCACAACGTCGGAGGTGCAGACAGAGGGATCTCTGGTTGCTTTTGATCGCTGCAGGTTCAGCGTCTTTTCTTAAGCTCTCTTGTCTTCGGCTCATCTCACGCCTGCTGTGTCTGATTTACTGTCTGGTTAACCGTTTCTGTACTGATTTAGCTACGTGTTCTGATGAGGCATCAAGTTTTCTGACATAAAATCTGAAAGAGTTGATGATGCTAAGTACTGGAACTGAGTTCCCAAAGCCCTTGAAGGAGAAAACGGCCCACAGCACCTTCATCATGCTGAGCTTCTTTTATTAATCAGAACTTAACGTTTCATTTACATGTTAAGTTGTTGGATGTTGTTACACATTCTTTGCTGTCTCTTCCTCTCACTATTTAAACTTACTTAACTTAAATGGGTTGTTTAATGTTACTAAATAGGAATCTATTATAAGGTTGGGTCTTTGTGGAACCACCTTTTGTTGATGTTTCATATTGATCTCCGATTAATTACTTTTATCTTTGTGGTTTCAATGTGATAAAACACAGAAAGGTAGAATCGGTATATGAATATCTTTGCAAGCCACTGTAATATTCAAACGTCTTTTCACATCGATCAGTCCCTCCAAGATTTGGTGATTGTTGTTGTGATTTTCAATCAAAATCCCAGATTTTTGTGGCGCTCATTTAGAAATACTTTCAAGAAATGTTCCCAAAATGAACGTCAAAGTAAGGCTGAGTAAGCAGTGTTGTAAAAATACGAAATATGGCCACCTGCAGGTGCTAGTTGGCAGTCATTTTTGTGTAAAAAAAAAAAAAAAATTGTAATAAACTCATAGCGGGGATATGTTGATTTTGCATGAATTTTGCAAATAACTGGAAGAGCTGATTTATATAATTCGGAATCTAGAGGGACCCATTAGAAGCTACGGCGGGTTCCGATTCGGCCTCGAGTTTGACACACGTGCTCTACATTATCACCTTCTAATATACAGTCATTTCAAGGCAGTTGAAATCTCCCAGAATCTAAGGCCTGCATACTGTGCTGGAGGAGTCCACAGAGGCTTCCTCAGCTTGTTATTAACAACTCCCATCTGACAGAGTCAGGACCCCGAGCTTTGAAGACGGCAGCTCTCTTTTCCATCCCTTTGATTTCGTCCACAGCGAGGCTGATCAGACTGTTTATGTTCTCCTCCTGTGGAGCCGTGAAGTCCTTCCCACTGGAGGAACATGAAATCATTCACTTGCCTGCTGCTGCAGTCCTAGAATCACCCTGCTGACCTGTCAGTCGCACAGTTTGAGCAGTAGATCGCAGGGCGCTCTGGCTGCTGGTTTCAGGACTGCTTGATGTTTATTTGACATTTTTCGATCTTTTTGAAAATTGTCACAAAAGGATTGTTTTCTTTACAAGTAATCCAACCAGAGCTTGTTGATGAAATCTGAGCTGCAGTCGCTTTAAAGGGGCAGTATTATGTAATATTGACTTTTTTGAGCTTTACATCATGTTATAATGTTATTCCCTCATCAGAAATATACCTTTCTTTCCCACTCAGCTTCTGTAGACTAGCCAGCAGCAATTAGCAAACACCTGGTGGAATATCTGCTGAGTTCCTTATACAACCTACTTCTATGTGCAGCGCTGGTAAAAACGTTGCTAAAGGGTTAATAGAGAAGCTGTATTGTGATGACTTCCTGAAGGCGGAGTTTCAGAATGAGCAGGAGTTTTTTTTTAAAGACACAGCGGCCCAATTTCAAGGCGTTAAATTACAAAGTCAAATTTCTTTTAAGTGATATTTGATGCAGCATTTTTATAACAACTGAAGGTAACATAATTACTTGATTGTGTTATAAATGGCATTATGTGCCTGGACAATATACAATACTACCCCTTCAGTAATAAAAGCTCGTTCCCAGTCTTATTCAGAAAGATGAGTGAAGCGTTGCAAAAACGACAAATAATATATAAATAAAATAGGGCAAAGCTTTGACTTGTCGACACTGATTTTATAAAAATTAATTGGGATTTCTTTTTCACTGGCATAATATTAAAAGATGTAAGAGTAGCATTCCTCCAGTTTGTGTTTTTTCCCTGGTTAAACACACTGCCACCACTATTCATTGTTGTACTTCTGTTACAAAAAAAAAGTACATATTAAAGTTAGATGAATAACTGATCCAACAAGTTTGAGCCCTACCTGATTTAGATCAATGCAAAAAGAAATTGATTTATGATATGAGTGCTAATTTGGTGGACAGTGAGCTGACCTTTTCATCCACCGCACGTTCGGAGACGTTTGGTTTGTGACTCGCAGCGTGCCGACTTTGCTGTCAGAACAGCGGTCCGTTCGGCTTTGATATCTGATCCTACATTTGTTTCACTCATGTCTCATCTTGATCTTCCTGTAATCCCTCTATAATCCGCACACAGGCTGATTCGAGGACGCAGCAGCACAAGCTAATCACATGCAGTCAAATACCTACACGTTCATGATAGGTTATGCTTTTTTGTTGTTGTGGTTGTCTGTTTTTGGGGTGTGACGGGAAAAAGAAAACTTTTTCACACTTAAATCCAAAATATTCAAGATGTTTATCTAGGATTTTATCCAGCAGACCAACATAAAGTGGTGCGTTATTATGGAGTGGAAGGGAAAATGGGTGAACTGTTGCCACATTCTGGAGTTTTTGCTCCCTCTAACAAGTTTTCCTCCAGAATCAGCCTGTATTTAGATTCCTCTGTGTTGGGCAACTCAATATTAAGTAATATTAACTTACCTTGAAAGCAAAAATGGTAGGTTTTCACTATGTGGGGGTTAATATTTTTTTTTATTTTTTGTCAATAAGAGCAGTAAAATATTAACGTTGGCTCTTCGTGACGATGCATGAAAGGAAATCACCAATGAGCCAGCAGCCAGATGTTGATGGTTGTCAGTTTTGAAAAGGTTGTAAAACCGTCTGATAAGAGCTCGGCCTCCACCAGATGATGATGGATTGTGTTCACATCGTGGAACTCTTCCAGAAGTATTCTTCTAAAGTCCACATGTGAAAATGCGACACGTGAAAGCCACGTGAGGTCAGGAAGTAGCCAAGTCTAATGGCATCGGTGACTGGATCGCTAAAAAGCACATGTCTGCATCACAAGCTCCAAAAGTGAAAGAAAATACCATGAGCATTGACACAGAGCGCTGTTGATAAAAACGTTTGAACTTTCTAATATCAATTCCCCCTCACATAACAACCCCAGCTCATCACCTAGCAACCCTGCATGTTTGGTCAGCTGGTTTTACCGCTCTAATTGCTGTGCAGCAGCTGGAGGAAAAGACAAGTGTTTTGTTGTAGACTTACCAATCCAGACACCACTTGCTACATCTTTGTTGGTTGTGCAGGAGGCTCCACTTCCGCTTTTCAAAGACGCAAGATTGCATCTGTTTGCAGCTATTTTCACATGTGATTTGGATTTCTATGGGCTTTTTGAAACTATTTTTGCTTTTTAACTTTTTTTGTTTTGGTTATTGGCTATTATGTTCACTCTCTGTCTTAGCTTCAGCTGCCGCTGTGGACTATTGAGAAAATACCAACGTATTCAGATGTTAAATCTTTAGGAGTGGAGACCAGTTGATCTTTAGTTGTTTTATTTTTTGTAAGCAAATCAATAATTGCTTGTTTCTTTAATTCTGAACCACTTATGTATACGCCTTAATAAAAACAACAAAAAAGCCACTCTGTGAGCTGTGGGGAAGAAGCTAATCAGAGGCGATGGAAAGATCCATCATGGAGGAATTTTTTGCTCAAATTCTTGCCAGAACTTTGGCTAATCCAAAACTCTAAACATTACTTCCATTCAAAGGACAAGTGTGGATTACAAAGTGATAACTTTAAACCTAAATATGACAGATGTTATGAATAAGTTTGTTTTACAATCATTGGCACAGCTAGCTTTGACCGGTTAGCTAACTTTGTTAGCAATTAGCCCACTGGATTATTTGTCAATTTAATGCTGCCAAACAGTTTAATTTGCAACTCAACTTTCACTAAATATTTACTTTTAACTTGAGTTACATGGTTTTGCAAGCTAGAAGCTATTTTATGACAGCTGAGGTGTAAAATATGAATGTTTTTTATGCTAAGTCTTTTAACAGACTGCTTTTAACGTTTTCCACTTAGTGAAAATTTGTACTTTCAGTTTTACCCTCGACTAAAACAAGATCAAATTATTTCATGAATAATTCATCTTAATCTGATGACACCAACCACGACAACTAACAGAGCCCTAACAAAACCCTACCTGAGGTTTGTTAGCTATCGCTGTAAAACAATCCAAACGTTTGACGCCCATGTAACGTCAAAACGTGTCACTGTTCCAGAAAAGCCATTAAAGCTGTGGTAAAGACGAAGAGTAGGGGCGACAGGAACATTTATGAACGTTAAACATCACGGCGCTGAACGGAAAATAACTACAGCGGGTCGCAGTCGCACCGAGCGGCATGAGCGGATTCAAAAGGTCAGTTAATGTTTTATGCTTTGTTTGTTTATTGTGTCTGATTTCGAGCAAAGTCAAATAATGTGAGATCAAAGGTCAGCCTTTTGTAAGAGCCTTGTTATAAAAAAGGAACAGGTAACATTTTCTTCTCTAAAATGTGAAGAAAGCCATTGTGAGAAAAGAAAGCAGGACATAACTAGATTTGCACAGACAACTTTCTAAAGGTCACCTAATCCGTTATGAGGAAAGATTCATATTATCCAGGTGTTTTTTTTTTATATATATCACTTTTCAGTTCTTTATTATTGTTTAAAATGTCTTGAAACATTAATCTCGTTTCTCAGAGTTATTACTGCAATAAGTTGTTGCCATATGAATTCATTCCTTTGTGCATTCTGTTCTTGTGTTTCTTTTCTACAACAGCATGTTAGGGACATTGTAGATAAAAAAAAG